TTAATGCAATAGACCACCTTTTGAATGTAGTGGAGCAGTGATTCAAATCATGGAGCTGACAAATCTGCAGCAGCTGTGTGATGGCAGCATGTCAACATGGACCAAACTCTCTAAAGAATGTTTTCATCACCTTGCAAAAACAATGCCTTTGAAAACTAAGGCAGTTCTGAGGGGAAAGGCGGTACAACACAGTGTACCTAATAAAGTGGCCAGTTAGTGTATTCATTCAATTCCATTCAATTATATAGTGTCAAATCATAACAACAGTCGCCTAAAGGCACTTTATTTATAATGTAAAGACCCAGCAGTAATAATAGTATTAACATTTTAAGTGTAGTTTGCATTGATATATACTGTTACATCCATATCAGCATTTTCAAATTGAAGACAGCCGTCGGCCATTCTGCTGCTTACCTGAACCCTTCAATCCCAGTTCTGAGCAAGTGTGGGTTTTTTTGTTTAACCACTTCGAGTTATTTGCCATTACTGACAAAATACAAGATGGGGTCAGGATGAAAAACTGTTCAGCAAATTAAGGATAAAGTAGAAGTTGTAAATCCTGTGGCTTTGTTATATCACTTTTCTTTTCTTTTTTTTTTATTTAAGTAACTCAAAGATCCCTGAATCTACATTTCTGAGAGGATTATGAAAAAGAAAAGACATTGGTGGAATTTTCAAAGGAAAAAAAAAAAAATTTTTTAAACTTATCTGGTAGTTTTATGTCATTGTTTTTATATCACTGTGACTACAGGTTTTAAAATTTGTTTAGACAAAAAAATAGCTGCCCACAGTAGTTTCAACATGGAGGGTGGTGAAGCTCATTTCTAGAAATTTGAGATCAAATTGTCTTCTTTATATATACTTTGGAAGACTCCTACAAAACCATTTAAAAAATAATTCTATAGTACATTCTGTCCAAAAAAATAATCCATTGGCAGGTTCAAATTGAAGACAAATGGCACCTTCCCGGCCTGCCAGATCTTGATAAATTTAAAAGGGGATGGCAAATAGGAGGAGAGGAGGAGAGGGGCATGAAAACAATGATAAACTTTTGTGTGGCAGGAAGTCGGCATTGATAGACATACCACTGGAAGGGGGATTTGTGGGGTGTGGTCCTGCTATTGAACTTCAGATACATTATCTCCAGTATGAATTCCATATTAAACACATATTTCTAAGGTACCATCAGCGCAACATTTTCATTGAAAATTAAATCGATTATATGAAGTAAGAGCAGAATTTCACCATTTCCAGTTTACCAAACCAGAATAAATAGCAGGCACACACAAACAGAGGTTGTTAAACAGTATTTCTGTTCAGCTACAATATAGTGTAATTAATTAAGGCAAGCCTACAGTGTATACATATAGATTTCTTACATATCTCTTTTTTAAATGTAAGAATATATTCTACAGCTTTAATTATTCTAGAAACCTTCAGTGTCAGCAAATTATGTGATATTATATTATGTTTACTGCACTGACATATCACTATCATCACCAGTAATTATATCACAGTTAATAATACGCGCAAAATGCAGTACGAGTATTTTTTTTAACTCTTCAGCTCTTTATGCTACTTATAAAATAAATAGTTAACTATACTCGTCATTAATGCGAGTGGACTGGTCCTCCTCTCTGCTCTGGCCGGCTGTGGGCGGTGCTTGCAGATCCTCTGCCTGGATTACGTTCCCGGGAACTTCCATAGCTGACGACCTCTGGCGTCAAAACTTAGCCAAGAAATTCTTCTTTGCAATTCGACACTGCTGCCACGTAGCCCCAACTTCCTGGAGGGCCAGAGGTTTTCCAGGAGCATTTTTGTGTATTGTTTCCTGCTGCCAGAGGTGAGTCCATTTCTCTGTCCTACCCAAAATATATAAATTCACAGCGGATTGCCCTGTGTGTGTGTGCGTGCCCACTGTGCCTGCTGAAATACAGTGGGAGGGATGAATAATGGAGCTACATTTCTCCACAACAGAAGAAGCTGGAGCGTTAAAATAGGCTGCAGAGACTTGTGATGAGGAATTTTTACGGAATTTTGAATTTTACGTAAATATGGTGGCATTTACGTAACTATAAGTAAAAATGTTATTGAAGTGTTTTATAAGGAAATATTTTACTTTTTACTGTCATGGTTTTAAGTGTGAATCCCAGCCGTGCTACAGATTTCTAAACATCGTATTTAATTCCAGGTGGATTGCTATTATTATCATCATTATTCTTATTATCATTATTTTTGCAATAATAGTCGGAAACAAATATAATAGTTGTATACCGTATTTACTGCCTTACTATCGAAAAAGCACAGCAAATTTTGTAAAGTAACTTATGAAATCATTCTACTTGCAGATTTTAAATATTTAAATATTTAATAAATTGAAAGATTGAATTAATCCACCTTTTACACAAAAAAGTTTGTCAAACAAATTAATTGTTTTAAGAAAAGTGATGAAAAGTTACTCTGTTAAACTAGTCAGGTTATTCTCATAGAAGGCTCTTATACACCCTGGACTGACACTAGCACAAAAAGACAGACGACTCTGCCAACATACCTCAAAGTTTCAGTTCAAGCGTTAAGTTGAATCGTTGTCTTTTGCATGTTAGTTATGAGCACTGTCCAAGTTATTGATCAGTGAATGAACTGTTGGATGACTCATCCACCAGTCAGGAAAGTCTGGATGTTTCGGTGACAGTTCAGTGTTCCAGCTAATGAATACTGAAGCTTGTCAGTGATCATTAATGTCTTCCAGAGTCAGCAGAGACACAAGTGCTTTTTAACTACAGTAGTGGTGTTCCCCTCCCTCTTGATATTTCAGAGCGACACATCAAATTCTCCGCTGCCTTGTCACTGTCAGGTGACAGGATGTTTAGCAGAATTATACTTTGACGAGCTAACTGCTTTCTACACAGACATGTTTTATTTAATTCTTTTTATACCTTCTTTGCATGGACTCCCTAATGAAATCATTGTAATCAACAAGAGCGTTGTCATGGCAGCGGTGCTGCTACAGGCTCTGATGGGCTTCCTTTGATTTTCTGTCAGCAGGGCTTCCTGTTGGTGCCAGAGCAGGAGGACAGTACACGAAATGGAGATGATCTTTTTATTGTTTCTCATATACTCTACAGTGAATGTCTTCTGAAAGATGGATTCAGAGCTGCATGGTCTGGCTTAAATGTGCACATAACAGGACAGAAGCAATGAGTAAGTAATTTTATGTAAATCAGTTTACCACAAAAAAATGCTGATTTTTACTGTGACATAAAGTAAATTGGTGTAAATATTGTGTGAAATGCATTAGTGTTGACTAATGTGATCGGCCAGTGCAAATGCTTGCTTGCTTGTTCTAGCTGCTGATAGCTCACATTTCACACGAAGCCCTGAATCTACATTCAGAACATGGTTATTGAACAACACAACATCTTTAATTACTCAAAGGTGCAAAGGTGAAAATTAAATGACTATCAAGGGAAGACTGAACTCCAGCAGCTTACATCTTCATCTTTTTCTGCCTCATTTGCATTTCAATCAATAGAATCTGAACATCAGAGAACCACATTGATCACAGTAACCAGTGTGGCTCATTTATTAGGGTACTTTCTAATGCTAAAATGCACCTGTTGTTCTAACGTGATCAGCACGATCTTCTTCTTCCTGGCGGTTTATATCCCGCCACGCAGGGTCCACTATCTTGCATGCCTTCCTCCACTTCTTCCTATCAAGGGCGTCTTCTGGTGTAACATTCACAGCCTTCATATCATCCTTGATTCGGTCCATCCAGCGCTTTTTTGGTCTTCCTTGTGGCCTGTTTCCATCCAGATCTAATTGCTGTGCTGTCTTTGCAATGGAATTTTTATTGCTACGGACAACATGGCCGTACCCTTGCCTCTCGCATCTTGTCTGTGATTGGTGTCACTCCCCATTGTTTCCTGACATCTTCGTTCCTCGCTCGGTCAAGTCGTGTGAGACCCAGAGGCCACCTCAGCATCTTCATCTCCATGGTGTGAAGAGCTTGTTCGTGTTTGGTCGTCGCTGGCCAGCACTCTGACCCGTAGAGTGCCACTGGGCGCTGACTAAAGCTGCCCAATTCAAGTACCTCGGGGTCCCTTGTCACCACGGACTGCGAAACTCTACCAGACGCCAGACTCCGTGTCAACACAGCAAGATGAAGTTGTAATACCACTTGCTGATGATGTCAGGAGTTTAGTAAATTGTAAACTAACTCCTGACATCTGAAGGATTTAAGGTTTTGTCCAAATAACATCATCTAAGTATGCATCAAACCAAGCCGTTTCAAGTTCTATCTTTATTTCTAGACGCTAACCCAACAAACACAACGAAAAATAATGTTTCCAATTCAGTTTACCACAAATAACATAAAAGGAATGGATTCGAATCTTATAACCGTTCAGTAGTTTCCTTCTGTGTAATTCCTTTGGGAGGCAATACATTTTCTTTTATACTTTAAAAATTAACCATCTTAATTTTTCTTTCCTCACAGGTTGTCCTATCACGCCATTGGCCAGTGTGGTGTCTACTCTGGGCGGACTTGTCTTTGGTTATGAGCTGGGCATCATATCGGGCGCTTTACTGCAGCTCAAGGTTGATTTCAGGCTGTCGTGCATTCAGCAGGAGGCGCTGGTCAGCTCCTTGCTGATAGGAGCCTTGCTGGCCTCGATCATTGGCGGCTGCTTAATTGACCGTCATGGCTCCAGGAACTCCATCCTCATCAGCAATGTCATGATCCTGACAGCCAGCCTGGTTCTGCTCATCAACTCATTCTTAGCACTGGTCATAGGAAGGATCACAATAGGCTTTGCCTTGTCTGTATCCTCCATGTCCTGCTGCCTCTTTGTGTCTGAGGTAGTAAGTCCAGACCGCAGAGGTTTCCTGGTGACACTGTATGAGGCTGGGATTACTGTGGGCATCCTGTCAGCTTATGCCATTAACTATATCCTGTCTGGCTATAAAAGAGGGTGGAAGTGGATGTTTGGTCTAGCTGTGGTACCAACACTGGTACAGCTCATGTCCATCTGCTTACTCCCTTCCAGTAGTAAGGATTCTTTCAACCAGAGTCAGTGCTTTGACAGCACTGAAGCCCAAGAAGCAGAGGACTCAAAAGTGCAGTCTAGCAAGAGAAATAAGAAGGTTCAACACAGCACTTTCTACCTGTTCAAGCGCCAGGACAATATGAGGACTCGGACTATCATCGGGCTGGGATTAGTTCTCTTTCAGCAGTTCACAGGCCAGCCAAACGTACTGTTTTATGCCTCCACCATCTTCCACACAGTGGGATTTCAGAGTGACTCCTCAGCAGTGTTGGCATCAGTTGGGTTGGGGTTGGTCAAAGTGATTGCTACTCTGATATCCATGGCGTTTTCAGACAGAGTGGGCAGAAGGCCTCTGCTCATCGGAGGCTGCTCTGTCATGGCTCTGTGCCTAATAACCATCGGGCTCTTCAGTGGACATTCGCAGGTGACCGCTATGAGACCTTGTGATTCTCAAAACATTGACGCTAACGAAACACGGGCACATCACTCACCTGTTGGCAATTACTCTGTTTTTGATACGTCTCTGGCTGGAAACCACTTTCTTTTTAAAAACACCACACAAGATAAGGATGTAGTGTTCAATAAAATCGGCCACATTTCTTTGGAACCCACTCCTGAAACTTTTACTAAAGCCCACGGCAAAGTGATCAACTGGATCATCCTCCTGTGTATGATGGGTACTGTCAGTGCATACTCTGTTGGATTTGGACCAAGTGTGTAAATTTACTCAATATTATTTACTTCATAGATTTAAAGCTTAAATAATTTCTGTGTATTTGTCGAGCATAGCTTTACCTCCATTACAATTTTTACCTGTGGGTCATCATAACTTTTTTTTTTTTTTTTTTGGATCAGTGACATGGCTCCTCCTGAGTGAAATATTTCCAGCTGCTGTTAAAGGAAGAGCATTCGCATTCACCAACTGCTTCAACTGGGCTGCAAACCTGCTGGTCACCTTCACCTTTTTGAATGTTATTGGTGAGTTTTGGAGTTTCAATAGCACTATAGGTTT